ACTACAGCTAGCTAGCACAGCTAGCTGATTGGTGCGGTCGTGCAATTGTAGTGCCACTTCTGGTGTTGGGAATGACAATGAATACAGAAAATACTGACAAATATAGAAAAATAAAAAAATCATCAAAATGTGACGAATATCAAATATTACAAATACAGGTAACTCCCATATAACATGGGAGTTACATTAAAAAAAATTGCCGTGTTATGCGAATCTGTGTTATACGAAACAAAGAATTTGTGCAAAATAGGGGGTTAGGTTCCAAAAATTAAAAAACATGCTATTAAATCCTTATTTAAATCGGATTTATTATTCGTTTTTTCATAGGTAAAATACTTATTTATTATTTAAGTAAATATTTTACCAGAGAATTATTCATCCTATATGATGATCTCAGCATGAGCATCATCAACTGGCAACAGTTTTTGGGTGTGTTCGTTAATAGCGGTCGCTCTGCAACGAGAGTGCGCTGCAGTTTGTAGGCATTTAGAAACAACAGTGAAAGAAATATGGCAGCGCCTGCACTATTGATAGTATCCTGATGGAGAATCTATAATTCTAAAATGAGCTTTTAGAGGCAAAAGAAGGGTCCCAATTGTAAAATTTAACCATTAAATGGATTATTGTTGAAAGAGAATTCAAAGTAGCCACAAAAACAATTAGAATGCTCGCACGGAGTTACGCGGAAGTATAAAAGAACACATCCTTTATTACATTTCATGTTGTACGAAGGTTTTACCCAATTCCCGAACTGTGTTAGAATGAACCCGTGCTATAAAACCACCGTGTTATACAGGGGATGTTCCCAATTCTCGAACCATGTTACAGTGAATCCATGCTATAGAAGTGCTGTGTTATATGGGGTTTACCTGTATAGAGGTTCCACTGTATTTCTTTTGCATCATTTTCACATAGAAGTTCCTAGCTTAGATGATAAAAACAATCATAATATTTACATGATATATTTTAAATTTAAGAAGGAATGTTAATTGCTAGTTTTATTAACACAATAAAAAATTATATTTAGAAAAATTTTCATTCCACTTCAATTTCAAATTAAAATAATGTATAAAAATCATAGAATAGCTTCCAGTAATTTTTCCCCCCTTTTCCATAAGATGTATTTTATTTTACTTTATAAATATTTTTTTATATTTGTTCATTTTCTAATAAATTTTTAGCAAATCTTCCAGATATATTGGAAAAGTTAATTTTATACTTTTAATCCTCTTCTGGTATTCTTAATTTTAATTCTGTTTTGATATTGCTGTTATAATTGATCAGTAATGAAAATTCCTACTGCACTAAAATTTTAAATATATGCATGAACAATATGATTTCAGAATCAATTGTATTGACATCTTTATTTCTGGAAAAGTACAATCACATGACCCTGATAACACACACTTTGTAAATAAGCATCATCCCTCTAGTTCATGAAAAAATGCCTATAAGGCATTGTTCACATCAATTAATAGCAAAGAATGAAAGTATTTATTAGTATATGAGAAATTCTCAGACATTAAATGATCAGCATAATAGTATAGTAGTAGTATTAGTAAAGAATACAAATACATGTGGTCTGATTCTCAGACATTCGACATCTCATTTAGAATACTTTGATGCTCCCTAAATTGCCTTTCATACACCTCATTCAGTTTTTTGAACATTTTCAGCAAAAACAAAAATTTCAAGCTATTTGCTAGTTTTAATTTTGTTAGCATCAGATTCATTTGTGAAAATTAAGTTTTATTCTGTTTTCTGTTTAATCTATGATTTAACATTTTAAATAATATTTTATGCATTGTAAAACATTTATTGTAAAACAAACTTTCTTACTCTAATAAAAGACTTAAGTTTTTTTAAAATTCTTTGGAAATGAACTCTCCTTTTAGGGCTAGTACACATTAGGAGTTGGGCGTTGTGTTAAACGCACGTTATAAGCATACACACCACATGTTTAGCTCAGCGTTCGATGACCATTCACACTGGCTCAGTTTGGAAATGGACGTGAAAGTAATTGTTTGTGTGTGCCTCCTCTATCATCGCTATAAAAGACGATAGCAAAGACAAAGAGAATTTTGGGTGCACCCAATATTACGAGATAGAGTGACGATTGGAATGTTTGTGACATATCCAAAACTAAGACAATATGACCCAAATTTTTTAATTCTTTTAGAATATCCATAAAATCATTTGACAATGGCTGGTCTCTCTTAGATTTCATCAATAAATAGATCAGTATCAAAATGATCGTTCTCCATTTCGGCCAACGTGCGTCCACTCTACCTGAAAGCACGTGATCAAATGTACAACAACATGGCAGCACATGTATCTCAAAGTGTGCAGCTGACGCCCGCAAAACACGCGTTCTAACCAAAATCTATCAACGCATGTTTGAGTGTGTATATCTATGCGGAACTTCTTTAAAACACACGTTACCAAAGCGCATGCTTCAAAATGCCTAATGTGTACACAGCTTTAATATGCAACTCTACTGTTTAACTTTTAGACATTTTTGTACACATCTTTTAGGAACATAGGCAATTAAATCCAAAAGTCAGTATAGAAAAAGAATACATATTCATGCACTTCATTTTACTATTTGTAATATCTGTTATAATGTGACTTATAACAAAAATTTTTTGTTTTTTTTGCATTAAACTGTTATTTCTTCAATCTTTTACCAGCAAATTCAATTCAAATGATTTCAGGGCTTTATGATCACACCAACAATCAAAGATTGAAAGATACCGCATAAAGACAAATAACAAAAATAAAAACAAATGAATGTCTTTGTATCTGTTTCCTGCAACACAAATGAGAAGATTAATATGCACAACAAATAGTATAATCATAGTCAAACAAAATAACCAGATGGACAAAAATCATGACTATTGTCATCAATGATGAAGAGAAAGAATTAAACCAAATATACTAATAAAACTTCTCTTTATTCTCATTCCATTCGTTAGTTCATTTCATCATATTTAATACAATGTTCATTGTACATGTTAACTTTCCTTTTTACATCATTACAGAAGCTGATGCAAGAATTCACTGTTTTATTTGTTTTCCTGGTATGGAACATTAATGGTAATAATCTGACATCATCTCACAATCTTTATTTCTCTCTCTTTGATCCGTAAGAATAGATATAAAATCTAAAAATATTAAGTTTTCTGAAAAGACTCTTTTACTTCAACTTTAATTTGAATTGAAATTACATTGCAATATCAAATGCTAAATCTACAACTCTCAATAATAAACAATGTCTTCAAATAATATTGTAAATTAAAATTANACTACTACTATTCCTCGAATTACTTCGATTCCCTTCGATTCCCTTTCGCAACGTTCCCTTCTTCCTATCGGACCGGCGGTATAGTTGTATTCGAATAGGAAAATTCCATAATACGAGGTTACCATTCTGCACAAAATATGTTTTAAGTGGTTTTCAAGGATGCAGAGTTTAAATATTTGGTCCGAAATTTGATTCGTTGGCAGATTATCGTTTTTAATTAGGTTGTGAATGGCACAATTTCTTAGAGTTTACATTAGGAAAAGACATATATTTATATATATATAAATGGACATGTATGTCCCTATATTTCACTTTTCCGCCAAAACTACACATCGCATGTGAATGGTGTTTGTATGTGGTAGTAGCCCCAGTCTCCATTCGTGCATCAGGGGGTTGTGTCTCGATAGCTATAAGGGTGCAGGAGATATGAGGCTGAAAGTGGTTGAAAGTGGCTTTCTATTTCGAATGTTTTGTTCGAACAAATTCAAACAATATTTGAATTAAATTCGAATATTGGTTCGATTATAGAACGATTGTAAATGTTCCAGAAACGTTGAAAATAGTTCGTTTGACTTGACATGAACAGGAGACGTTCAGAAATAGAATTGAGACCAGGTCTCTAATTAGTCTGGAAACGGGAGACCTAATTCTTGCATTCTGTGAAAACGGGTAAGATTGGCTATAATGTAATTATCTTAATATCTAATCTACTATACTAATCTATCGTTACTTTTTAAAAACCCAGCGAAGCGGGTCCTTGCAGCTAGATTCTAGATTACTTAGAAAAACAGTCTTTTATGTATATAAAAAAACTATATTACATACAAATGTACGAATAAATAAAAACACAGCAAAGCGGGTCCTTGCAGCTAGTATATATATATATAGACTAATGCAACAGCATTTTGATATTGCCAAGAGTAAAAAAAACCAACCTCCCAAAATTTTCTACTCTTGGAACAGAAAACCGGAATAAACTCTTTGGGAGTCGGCAAACTTGCGCATAATATCGCAATCATTGAAACACAAGTTTCCATAAAATGCAAACTTTGGTACTTTGTAAACCAGAACAAATAAATGGGTATATGTGTTGTATAGCTTGTCTTGGGTGCATTACTTCCTATGTGCAGTCTCATAATCTGTTATCCGGAATCTGACTGCTTATGCACACGATCGCCGGTGTGACTTAATTTCTAAAATGATTTGCCATTGCGGCTTCTGTGTCAAACGGGACACAGTATTGTCATGCCAACATGGCATCAAAGAGGTGCCAACCCTCCAGTCACATTAATATACCTTTTGGTAAATGTTTATTTTAGCTCATTATTTGTTTTATATATGTACAAAATACTAAAAATAACTTTACTTTTCAATTAGAATCAATTCTCAAATTCATTTGTTTCAATTACATTAACAGAGCAAACACTATTTCATTTGTATTATGGCACATGTTTAAATTAGCATAATTTGAATTCAGGGCAAGATTTTTAAATCTCCACCAGCTGTTTTACAGCGAAACTTTTGCAAATGTCAAAATTATATTTACGAATTTTTTAATGCAGGAATGTTTTAATGTATGAAAAATTGAATATTATTATAAAATTTCTCGTGTTGACAGCTCTAATGATACATAACGGGATTATGTTTAGGCTTATAAGCAATCGTTTGATTACAGAGACAGAGAAATGAACATTACCTCGATCTCCTTCCACTTGCTATAATCGACCATTTTTTTCTCGCAAAAAAAAAACTAAATACAAAAAAAAATCGTTAACCAGTAAATTTTTCAGACAACATAGAACGAATTTCGAAGCATCAATGCGTCGAAAAATAGAATGTTCTTCTACTAACTGCGCATGTACTCTAACGAAAGAACTTTCTGCTAACTTTTTAGTATTTTAATATTAATTAATGTAATATGAGCAGAATATTTAAAATTAATTACAATTTAATTATAGTTTAGATCTGAAAATTATTTTATTTTATCAATTTTATATCTCAAAAATATGTTTCGAAGTTTCTAGAACGGCGAAAAAAAAAAAAATATAGCCGACAGGGAGAGCTGTTACATGAATTTTAATTGTCGGCATACAAGGACTATATACTGTACTACAGTCTAACTGTAGTTTAAAGTCCTTGGTCGGCATAGAAGACGTTGTTTTCTTGCCGTTTTAAATTTAACTTTAAAAATAAAATAAAATAAAATAAAACTGAATTTCAACGTAATTATAGTAGAAACGTTCCGCCAATAAAAGTTTTCTTTTATGTCATTGTTTTCCTTTATTTTTTTCTTTTTGGAGGAATTTCGATTTTTTATTTCACATTTCTGCTTTCGTGAGAAGAATGAGTAGTTCAATCAAAAAAGATTTCATTTAGAATTAGTATTTTAAATAAAATATCTTCTTTAATCTAGTCATAACATTCGATTTTTAAATTTCATTCGTAGATTTTCTAAAAAAACAGCAGACATCGTTCTTAGACCTTCGTAACCACGGCCGGATGGCCGAGCAGTTAAGGTGGCAACTACCAGCTCTTGGAGACTCGGGCTCGAATCTGGACGGGTCGAAAAATCCCAAGGAATTTTTTAGAGGTGGTCCGTTCGGATATGTCGGGCCCCGTCCCTCGCCACTCAACCACCCCATTGTGGCTTGCTGAAAGAGGCCCTCTTAGGCGGAAAGAGTTAAAAAAAAAAAAAAAAGACTTTCGTATACGTCGTCATCTATTTCTGGATTTTTCTACAAACAAATGGACTTCAGATTAAAAGTTTCATTTTGTCAAATCCAGCGATCGCAACCTGTAATTAAAAAAAAAAGAAAAGAAAAAAGCTGGTATCATGGCCAAAAAGCTGACAGCTAAAATTTAAAACTTTTTGACAGTTTTGATGGAATTCTCTAGTGCAAGGCGTACAGAAATGACAATCTTATTTATCAATTGATTTTATTTTATCGCACCAATTTTGTATTTTTGATCATTTTGCACTAACAGAATAAAACAACGATCCCCAAATATAGGGTTCCAACTCCGTGTGGGCTTATCAATTCTTCTTTATATCGTTGCGTATACACTTTTCCACAAATATTATTTCTCTACTTGAAAAATCTTTAAAAATACAGACAACACTCGATTGATTTTCAATCACAATCCACAAAAAGTAGGGTTTAGTGTATTTCTGTGTGTTTATTAACAATGCTATTCTAATACAGGAAAAGCAACTTCTCGAAAAAACACAATTGTAAGAAGAAACATGTTACAGAATTTTTAAATTATGAATTTCTATGTAAGAACGTTAATCGAGAACACTTATTTTTTTGTATAATTTGTAATGAAACTTTCACCGGTTTCAAGCTCTTAAAGATAATTGGAGAGAAATCATTTAATGTACAGCACATCGGAAAAGCTATTAGTATTTATTTCAATGTAGACTATTATGTATCCCCCAAACTCACCCGAAAAATTTAAAAAAATTTTATGAAAACAAAATATAAAACCTGACAACACTTTTGAAGATTGATAACTGAAAGCATCGGCAAAAAGCGGGCAAATGCCAAAGACGATATGCTTTTTTCTAATTCGTTTCGCCCTGTAGACCTTAAGACAGCCTTCTTTTTAACAAGACCATTATAGCTTCAGCCAGTTCTGCAATGGGGCAGCCGGGTAACGAGGAATTGAGCCTGACATATCCGGACTGATCACCCCCGAAATATTCCTGGATATTTCGACCCGTTCGGATTTGATCCCGGGTTTTCCAAGAGCGGTAAGCTGATACCTTAACCGCTCGGCCATCCGGCAGTCGACGCGGACAGAATCCTCGAAAAGCTAATTGTCCACACAAAGTGCGGACACTTTAGAACTTTGCAAATCTCTACTATGAAACGGAGTATGCTATTGGTTTGCTTACTTAGATGCTTGTCACTTACTTAGATGCTTGTCACTTACTTGAACTAACTCTCATTTTCAAGATTTTTATGCGTCATAGATTCATCTAGAATAGATCTTCTGATGACATAGCATATGGTATAATTTCAGCTGCGGGAAACGCTTTTAGCGGCAAAGAGAGGAAAATTACTAGAATATGCAATTTATTACATGTAGTAAAAAATTAACGTAAGTAAACTTTAAAATAATAAAATCGTATTTTTGCGGAATGACAGGCATGCCGGTTTAAGTGAGGTTATACGTCCTTCTCTAGAGGACGTATTAAAAAAAGAACTAGTTTTTATTCTAAACCTGTGAAACTTCCAGTATTACATCAAAAACTACGATTTTAATTTCTTTGTTTTGTCTTCTTTCTAAGGACATAAAATCTCTTGGAATGCCGAAAGTGCTTTCTTTTATGTATATTTTATTGTTATTCGATTCAAAAATGCAAAAATAAACATATTAAGTTTAAGAAATTGGCTAAATTATTTTAGCTTACACTGATTAACACTGGCTTTGTGTAAAATTTGAGAAGAAGGTGTAATTTTTAAGGTCGGGGTAGATGGTCAGTGTAGTTCACACTGACTAACCGCTGTTACTACTACTACTAGTAATGTCAGTAAGTCGTTAATTGTTTTATTGTTTTGTAAACGAAAACTCTCTTCCCGATTTTTAGTCGGTCGAATTACGATGTTATTATTTTATTGTACGCGGAAGAATGTTTTCTTTAACGTTTAATTAACAACGAGTATTGTTAGATCTGATTAATTTTATATGCTAGTCATAGTTTAACCGGCATGACCGTAACCCCGGAATTTCCGGCATGCTGGTCTCCCCCGTTTTTATGCGTCATGCCAATCATTCCGCGAAAATACGGCAGTAAAAGATATTTAAAAGATATACAGGCATATATATAATAATCTAGTAAAAAATTTTTTTATTTTTTGAAAGAAAAGTTTTGGTCTGAAGAAGAGCAACGAAAAAGTAGTCTGCTTCAAATAGAATACTCTAAAGTATAGAAAACTAAAAGAAAGAACATAGTTTTTCACAGTCTGTGTTTGTTGTTTTCATCACAAATGTCATTCATTAACACCGTTAACACCGTTAAAATTTTGAAATAGGTGAATTAGTAGCTGGATCTGGGATTGCAACAGCAATAATCTTAATAATTTTGAAGACATGACATTTTACTCTTGTAGAAATATTTTATAAAGATGGAGTTTCCGAGTTGCCAAGTGGATACCGTTATTCCTTTTGATCGCAACTTTAATTATTTAATTAAAAATTATGAGTTTTCGAAGAAGATCACGATAATGATATTCAGAAGTGTGAAAGTAGCGGAAAATGTAGTTCGCAAACGTTAAAAGATGAATAGGATGCAAGTTACACTCCACCTGACAAGATGCCAGAAATTGTTGCTTAATGGCGTGATTGCAAATTCAAACTGATTGTTCAGAACAATTGATAAAATAAAATTTTCCTGAATTACTGAAGTCGACTACTCAACTGTACAATATGAAGAAAACAGTCAATTCCCCAGAAAATTCAAACACAAATGCAAATATATTTTACAGTATAGGCTATGTTGCAGCAATTCAATAACGCAAAAAAACATAGTATCATTGTAAAGGAATGCAGCCTTCAAATTTGAGCATTACGTAATACTAAAACTGAGAACCCAGATACTTTCAAGACATCATGTGGTTCGATTTGTGGTTTGAAGAAAAAGTTTCGTGTAATGTCTTGTAAAATCACACATTAGTGTTGCTACCTTTTCAAAATCGCTGACCTGGAAGGCAGGTCAGGTTTATTTGAACAGAAGTTCCTGACGCATGGGCAATGTCATTTTACAATGCGAAATACTAATGTGCATACCGGTTCTAAATCAGTTACAGTTAGGGACTAGGGCAAGCATGGCCAACATCCGGCCCGCGGCCCGTATGTGGCCCGTGATTAAACTTTCAATATTACAATATTAGCTACTCAAGTCAGAATAGATCGATGAAAAATTCTAACGCGTAAAAAAAAGGTCAACAACTGACTGTCCGGTTAGAGTTAACCCTCTATTACAGGGATGGCCAACACGTAGACCGCGGTAGACCGCAAAGGTTTTGAAAGTAGCCCGCGAAGCTAAAGTTGAACAATTTGCCTTCACTTAAATTAATTAAATTAATGTTTAAAAATCTTAATTTGATAATTTATTCTTACAATAATAGACTGTCTGTGTAATGTACCCATACTGTTTGTATTTATCCCGATGAACAATGCAAATGAATGTTAACTCATGCGCATATAAATGGCAATTTGCATAAAATGGCGCAAAATCATGTGTCAGACAGTAACGTGACAGTCCCTGGCTTTAATCCACTTGTTACTCTTTGTTTGTGCACTTGTATTTACTTTCAGTTTTAGTTTTTTTTATTTATTCATACAGCGAAAAGAAGCAGGCGTGTTAGTTTATTAATTAATTATTGTTTTAAATGTTATAATATTTAACCCTATTATTTTAGAATGAATAAACCAAGTACAGGCCGAAAAAAAATAAAAACTTATCATTATCACAGTGAATGGGAAAAAGATTATTTCTTTACTATGATGAAAGATAAATGTGTGTGTTTTATTTGCAATGTAACAGTAGCTTTGCCTAAGAAAGCAAACGTTGAAACATATTTTCTAACAGTTCATAAAAACTTTGAAGAGTATTATCCACGTGGTACTGCGTTAAAAAAAGACCAAAATGCAACAACTGAAAGTACAATTAACTGCACAACAAAATAGCTTTTTTAAATACAACACGAACTCAGACTGCTACAATTGCCTCATTCAAAGTTGCTGATACTTTAATTAAATTTGTTTTCTTTATTTGCCATAATATTTTTTAGTTGAAATTCTTGTTAATTATTTATTAAAATATCTATGAAAAATTTGAAAAATCCTAAGATTGTTTGCTCATAT